TTATTTTTCAACTACGAGTTCCCCGTTGACGTATTTTGCGCTTTTTACTACGTGTAGAAATGGATTTTCAATTGTCGGCGTTCCACAGGGTAACATGGCATTAGATTTGTTTGATGTCCCGACATTTTCATTTGTAGTGTCATCATTCTCAGTATCCAATTCTATTTTTGAGTTTATTTCGACAGTGTTAGTTTGCTTAGCCTTCTCTAATAAAATTGGATCTATTGGAATTTTGGGTACATTCCCATCTTTCATTTCTAAAATTTCATTTTCTTTATTTTCGACTGTCTCAACTTTTGAGTCCAAATTTTCTTCGACTTTTTCGACTTTTTCAATTTTTACATGTTTTTCAATTTTCTCAATTTTTTCGTCAAGTTTCGAAACTTCGACTTTGACTTTTTCGTCAACCAACTGCAATATTTCTTTTTTGAGTTCTTCTTTAAGTTTTTCCCACAACATATTTTCATCTTTCGACTTTTCGACTTTTTCGACTTTTTGTTGAGTATTGAACCAATTTAGTGCGTTAGCTTGATCCTTAATACACTCTTTTACGTCTTTTTTGCTTGAGGTTGAACTATCATTTGTGCTTAAATCAATTGTCTTTGAACGAAGCTTGTTGCCTAATTCAAAAAGAGATTCAACACCTTCAGTGCTGTGATCGAACAAATCACTCGGTACATCTTTAAGAGCAGACTCGATAAAGCTGTTAAAAACACTGACTATTCGACTTGCAGCATTACCATAATAAGCCGTTCGCATATAAGTTCCCACAAAACAATTTTGTACTCGTTCTTCAAGATTTTCGCGATGCATTTTTTAATGTATTCGAGTTTTTTTTTGACATATTTATATGAAAAAAATTATTTTCGCTTTTCTTTATTGATGTTTATTTATTTATTGGTGGGGTAATATTTTAAACATATTAATTCATTTTTTTATAAAAATAAAATTATTTTTATTTAAAAATAAAATTATTTGTGTTAGGTTTAATTGAGTTTGTAATTTAAATAAGTTGTATGGACTCATTGTTTAAAAAAATATAAATAGATAAATGATATTTGAACTAATATGAATAATTAAGTGATGTTACAGTTTTAAAATGTTTTATTAAGGACTCATTGCAATTATTTACATAATTATTAAACAAAAAACAACCTTATTTTTATATTTTAATTTATAATATGACAATTGTGTTTTTGTGATGAGTTTATATCTTATTATTACAGAAGGGTAAGTGAGG